AAGAATAGTTATGTCAAATTTTCAAAAAACAAAAATATTTAGTTTTTTTTACATCAAAATATTAGTCAGTGTCACTGGTCATGTATTAATATGTCTAATTCAACTAGAAAATATTACTTTCTGTCATTAAATTATTCTGGATATAAAGTAACTATGCTTTCAGCTTTCAACAGAACCACTACATTAAAACTGAAAATAGTAAGACTCAGAACATTTTACATTGATTGTTATGATACTTTTTCAGTTTTTATTTTACTCCTTGTTTAATCCCAGACCCTGAGCTAGCTCATGGGTTTAATTATTCCTAACAAATTCTGCCCTAAAACATATTAGATCCGGTTAAATGGTTCTGGTTTTTATATTCGAGTTGGAAGGTTTGGGCTTATATATCCGAGTTGGAAGGTTTGGGTTTTTATATCCGGGTTGGAAGGTTTGGGCTTCTATATCCGGGTTGGAAGGTTTGGGTTTTTATATTCAGGTTGGAAGGTTTGGGCTTCTATATCCGAGTTGGAAGGTTTTTGTTTTTGTATCCGGGTTGGAAGGTTTGGGCTTCTATATCCGGGTTGGAAGGTTTGGGTTTTTATATCCGGGTTGGAAGGTTTGGGTTTTTATATTCGGGTTGGAAGGTTTAGGTTTCAATATCCGCGTTGGAAGGTTTGGGTTTCAATATCCGCGTTGGAAGGTATAGGTGTTTTTTTATCTGGGTTGGAGGGCTTTGGTTTCTTAATTATAATTTATTAGTTCGAGTTTCTACATCTTGTTCGAAAGGTTTGGGGTTCAATATTCTAATTGGAAGGTTCTGGCTTCTTTATTCTGGTTGGGTTTCTATATTTTTATGGAAAGGTTCGGGTTTCTCTATTCTGGTTGGATGGTTCTGGTTTTTGTATTAGTGTCGGAATGGTTGGGTTTCTTTATCTGGGTTTAAAGGTTCTAGTTTTTATATCTTGTTTGAAAGGTTCTTTAAAATGGGTAAAGTTAAAGTCTCTATATCTAGTTGGAAGGTTCTGAAGGTTCGGGTTTCTAACCGAGAAAAATTTATATTTTTGATTCAATATTAAAGCAAAGAATTGGTTGTCTCCTGTATCCGTTCTGAATACATAGGAAACCGAGATTATTTCTCAAAAGAGAACGAAATATATCCATACACTCTTCTCATCCGCATTCTTCGGATTCACGGTTTTTATTCTGATAAAAAGTTAATTTAGTTTGTTTCTAATAAATAAAGAGGTAGAATAAAATGAATCTGAAAACCTTGATAAAATATGGAATGAGGAGAAACTAAAGAGTAGATTCTTCCTGGTTTTGCTTTCATTTCTAGTTTCTGGTGTATGTACGAAGGTAGGATATGATTGATCATGTCTCGCAACTAGAGTAGAGCAGAGTAGAGTAGAGTAGAGTAGAGTAGAGTAGAGTAGAGTAGAGTAGAGTAGAGTAGAGTAGAGTAGAGTAGAGTAGAGTAGAGTACACTTTTTTAACCATATGGTAAAATGCCAGTACAAGTAAAATTGTACCGAATCGTATCATGAGACTGAAATATCTATGTGAGAATAGAGTAGAAAAGAATAGAGTAGAGAAGAATAGAGTAGAGTAGCATAGAGTAAAATAGAGTACAATTTTTTAACCAGATGGTAAAATAATCTTTATTTTTGAATAAAATAAAAAAATAAAAAAATTCTGTTAAAAAAAAAATTCTCCTTTACAAAATATCTCTATTTTATCAATTATTTGTGCATAAATTTCTACCTGCCTATCAAAGATACATATATTGGAATGTTTCTATGTATTCTATTAAGTCAATTCTGCAGGTACAAAGCCTACAAGGATAAATAAATCCTCATCTGTCTGATCTAAATCATTCACTCTAAACCTCGAAATTGAAGAGAAAAAAAGAGAAAAGTTGCGCTCATTCAACAGAATGCTTTCAATTCCATTCTCTAATACAGTATCTGTAGAAGATATAAAATTTAAAACTATAATATATCCTCAATACTGCAATTAATCACACTGCTCTTAGAAATATCAATAAAGAGTGTAGACTACCGACAGTATAGCTCAGTGTAGAGTGTAGACTACAGACAGTAGAGTTTAGTGTAGAGTGTAGACTACCGACAATAGAGTATAGTGTAGAGTGTAGAATACAGACAGTATAGTTTAGTGTAGAGTGTAGACTACAGACAGTAGAGTTTAGTGTAGAGTGTAGACTACAGACAGACAGTAGAGTTTAGTGTAGAGTGTAGACTACAGACAGTAGAGTTTAGTGTAGATTGTAGACTACAGACAGTAGAGTATAGTGTAGACTGCAGACTACAGACAGTAGAGTTTAGTGTAGAGTGTAGAATACAGACAGTAGAGTATAGTGTAGAGTGTAGACTACAGACAGTAGAGTATAGTGTAGACTGCAGACTACAGACAGTAGAGTTTAGTGTAGAATGTGACTACAGACAGCAGAGTATAGTGTAGAGTGTAGACTACAGACAGTAGAGAACAGTGTAGAGTGTAGACTACAGACAGCACGTAAATGTAGAGTGTAGTGTAGAATTTAGACTGTAGACTGTATATTATTTCATGTAAACTGTGAAACGGATTCGGGACTAAAGTTGTAAAAAGGATGGATGGAGTAAGGTTTGTTTAATGTTTAATTAGGAAAATACTACAGATAAAAAATGATTTTGAGATAAAAAACCTAAGTAAGGATGGGCTCTATAAAGCTTTGAGCCCGGTTGGTTTGGGAAATGTTTTCGAGAAAGGCTTGTGCAGGGTTGGATCCGGGGATGAAGGAACGGGTCGCGGATCCTCAGCTCCGGGAACAGTCTTCAAACCTCCTCCGGACCCTGGTAAACTTAAACTTATCCTTGCCAAAATATTTTTACCAGCTACGAGTACTATACAGATTTAGACCTGGACTTGGAAATGTCTTTCGGTTTAAATCTGACCTAAAAGTAGTGTCAAGGTTGAAAGAATTGCTAAAGAGTTAAACCTTAATGTTCAGGTTCAAACCTAGCTATGAGGGGTATAACTTGAACTAGAAGTAGTATCTCAGCTTAAAACTGAACTTGTAGAAGTAACTAGGTTTGAATATTAACTAAAAATAATGCCAAGCTTCAAACCTGAACTAAAGGTAGTCTTAGATTTAAATATGAACTATAGGTAGTGTCTAAGTTTAAACCTTCACCACAAGTAGTCTTAGGTTTAAATATGAACTATAGGTAGTGTCTAAGTTTAAACCTTCACCACAAGTAGTCTTAGGTTTAAATATGAAATATACGTAGTGTCTAAGTTTAAACCTGCACCACAAGTAGTCTTAGGTTTAAATATGAACTATAGGTAGTGTCTAAGTTTAAACCTGCACCACAAGTAGTCTTAGATTTAAATGTGAACTATAGGCGGTGTCTAAGTTTAAACCTGCACCATCTTAGGTTTAAATATGAACTATAGGGGGTGTCTAAGTTTAAACATGCACCACAAGTATTCTTAGGTTTAAATGTGAACTATAGGTGGTGTCTAAGTTTAAACCTGCACCACAAGTAGTCTGAGGTTTACATATGAACTATAGGTGGTGTCTAAGTTTAAACTTGCACCACAAGTAGTCTTAGGGTTTAAATGTGAACTATCTAGAATTCTGCTTTACTCCTGAACACTAAATCTAGAATCTAGATTTAGTGTTCAGGATTGAAGCAGAACTTGAAGTAGTGCTATGGTTCATGTACTAATATTAGAACCTAAGTCGAACATATAAAGTCCTCAAGTAAAACCCTAAAGGTAGTATTTAGTGTTAAACCTGCATGTCATGGTTAAAATCTGAACTATATGAAGTGTTAAGGTTTGAATCAGAACTAAAGGTACTGTTTAAGTATGAACTTGGTAAAGAAGAAAGGTCTTTCTTTGAACCTAAACTAGAAATAGAGTCTAGGTTGAAACCTTAACTTGAAGTAGTGTGTAGATCCTTTACATACGATTTAAGCATTGGTTTAAACCTACACTGTAAGATGTAAATAGGTTTTTCATCTGTGGACTGTATAGTGAACAGTGTTGGTTTGAGTGTATAGGTATAAATCACTACTCTGTGTGCATAGGCTTAAACCTGTACTTTTTGTAGTGTAAAGGTTTAAATCTTTACACTGAGTAGTGTATAAGTTTAAAGTTGTAACCTGAGTCCGTATATTTAAACCTGTATTTTGAGTCTAGAGGTTTAAATCTGTGCTTTACTGTGAACAGTGAAAAGGATTAAGTTTTACACTGAGTGGTGAAAAGATTTTAACTTGTACTCTGAGTAGTGTATAGATTAAAATCTGTACTCTGAGTATTGTATTATAGATTAAAATCTGTACTCTGAGTAGTGTACTGTATAGACTTAAACCGTACTCTGAGTATTGTACTGTATAGGTTTAAACCTGTACCCTGAGTAGTGTACTGAATATATAAAAGCCTATATCCATTCAAAGAGCAAAGTTACTGTTTACTTGGATTTTCTTTGCACACGAATAAAGAGCTAAATGATGTTTAATTTCAGATCTTCTCTCCGGACAGAGCAGTGTAATATATACTGTGCATAGTGTACAGGCATTGTTTCAACAAAGGTTTGAATTATTAAGAATTCCCAAGTTGAAACAGGAATACAAACTTACAATATCTTACCAATACTGTCCTTAAATTAAAATGTCAACAAAATGGAGGTTTCAGAAATAGTAAAAATTTACAATTTGAAAACAAGTGAGGTTAATACAATTTGAACACCAGTGAAATCACTACAATTTGAGGACAAGTGAAATTACTACAACCAGAAAACGAGTGAAAGTTTTACAATTTGAACTTAAATGAAAATATTAGATTTTCAACACGAGTAGAAATATTACCATTTTAACACGAGTGAAAGTATTACCATTTGAACAGAAGTGAAAAAAATTACAACTTAAACACGATTGAATATTTAACAATATTTCAATTTGGACAGAAGTGAAAATATTAAATTTTGAACACGATTAAATCTATAATAATTTAAACACGAGTGAAAATGTTTCATTTTCAATACAAGGGAAACAATTATAAAATATATCTTTGAAAAGTAAGAACAATTAACTCAGTAATCATACAAAATGGTGGAAGTAAGAATTCTCGTCTGCCTTCTCATCCTCAATAACTGCAAAGGTTAGCAGAATCTTACAGAGAATCATAGAACTAGATCGGTCTGTTTATAATTAGAACCGGGCTTAGAACTTTTGTATTTGATACTCATAATCCCTTGATCTCGGTATCCACTGTAAGTACTTTTATTAGAGGAACAATGTTTAATCTCCTCATTGCAGGTATTCAGTTAACGTCTGATCACCATGATCAAAGATTAAATTAATCTCTAGATTATCAAAAATACGAGATTAAGCATTGATTTGAATATCCAAAATACAAGAGTTCCCAGCTCTGGTTAGGTAGAATTTTTTGATGAAATTTTTTATGTTTTGACTACATTCGGGTTTTTCCAAAGAAAGGCAGAAATATATTTAGATAAAAGGAATACATGAAATTTTACGTATAGATGAACATACGCAGAGCATAGATGAACATACGCAGAGTATAGATGAACATACGTACAGTATAGATGAACATACGCAGAGTATAGATAAACATACACAGAGCAAAAATGAACATACGCAGAGTATAGATGAACATACGCAGAGCAAAAATGAACATACGCAGAGTATAAATGAACATACGCAGAGTATAGATAAACATACGCAGAGTATAGATGAACACACGCATAGTGAAGATGAACATACGCAGAGTATAGATGAACATACGTACAGTATAGATAAACATACGCAGAGTAAAGATGAACATACACAGAGTATAGATGAACATACGCAGAGCATAAATGAACATACGCAGAGTATAATAGATGAAAATAAGCAGAGTATAGATGAACATACGCAGATTACATATGAACATACGCAGACTATAGATGAACATACGCAGACTATAGATGAACATACGCAGACTATAGAGGAACATACGCAGAGTATAAATAAACACACGCAGAGTATCGGTGAGCATACGCAGAGTATAGATGAACATACACAGAGTATGATTCCTTGGCACAATGTTGTAGAATCATTTGATTCTTCCATATATTGTCACTGTGAAAACTTGTTTTTGAATAAAATTATAAGACAATATGAAGAAAAATTCTCTGGGAAATTATTTAGAATAAAAACTCTGAAAAGATCTATGACGAATGAGAATTCTGGGACACCATGAAAAATAAAAACTCTGGGACAATATCTAGAACAAAAATCTGGGACACTGAACACAATTTTGGGACATTAAGTTAAATAAAACTCTGGGACACTATGTTATATGTAGAATAAAAATCTGAGACATAATGTAGCATAAAAACTCTTGAAAGCTCTATGAAGGATAAGAACTCTGGGAAACTTTGTAGAAAAAAACTATGGGACAATGTGAAATAGAAAACTCTGGGACACTATAGAAAAACTCTGGAATACTATGTTACAAGCTTACAAGTAATCAAAGAGAAGCTTTTTAAATTGACATCTTCTTCTGACTTTATATTTATGTGTATCCATGCTGTTTAAAAGCTTGATTTAAATCAACATTGAAGTCGAAAGTCGAAAGTCGTCTTCTTCTTTTTTGATATAATCGCCTACCACCGTATGTAAAATCCCTGGAACACCATGAAGGAAAATCCTATGGGACACTATATAACATAAACAATATGGGAAACTCTATGAAGAATAAGAACTCTTGATACTATGAAGAATAAATACTATGATGCTATAAATGGGACATATATGTAGAACAAAACTCTGGGACACTTTATAGAAAAAAAACTTTGGAACACTATGTTGGACACTCTATGCATTATTTATGACTAAAAACTCCGGGACTCAATTAAGAATAGAAACTCTGGGACACCATTTAGCAAAAAAGAATTAGCACTCTGTGTATTTTGGTGAATACAAACTCTAGGAAACTATATATATAATGAAAACCCTGGACATTATGTAGAATAAAACCCTTGTACACTTAGAAGAATAAAACCCTGGGATACCTAGTAAAATAAAACCCTGGGACACTTAGTACAATAAACCCCAGGGACACTTAGTAGAGTAAAACCCTGGGATACCTAGTGAAATAAAACCCTTGTACACTTAGTAGAATAAACCCCTGGTACACTTAGTAGAATGAAACCCTGGGATACCTAGTAGAATAAACCCCTGGGATACCTAGTAGAATGAAACCCTGGGATACCTAGTAAAATAAAACCCTGGGACACTTAGTAGAATAAAACCCTGGGATACCTAGCAGAATAAAACCCTGGGATACCTAGTAGAATAAAACCCTGGGACACTTAGTAGAATAAAACCCTGGGATACCTAGTAGAATAAAACCCTGGGACACTTAGTAGAATAAACCCCTGGTACACCTAGTAGAATAAACCCCTGCTACACCTAGTAGAATAACCCCCTAGGACACTTAGTAGAATAAACCTCTGGGACACTTAGTAGAATAAAACCCTGGGACACTATTTTTAGATTTGAAAACATTAAACTCTACTTAAAATAGAAACTCTGGAAGAAAAAGGAAGAAAAATAATACTTAAAATGTTGTCCTCTTAGTTGTATTTTGTCTAGAATGGCAGAATATTTTCTCGGTAAATATCAAAATATGTCAGAAAAATGATGAAATTGTTTGAAAACTTTTCTAAAGAGGAACATCCACTTTTCTTTACTTTTATTCTTTATCTTATAATGTCCCAAAGGATGCATTCTCAAATTTTAATTTCCAAATTCAAAATAATCTTTGGATATTGCTCCTTGATAATAGTGATAATCATGATGAAATATCAAATGTCAAAACTTTCTCAGCAAATTACAACAATTATAGCTAAGGAAAACCAAACGGTTGATACTGCAATGATAATGAAAATTGTGTTTTAATTTCATTTTTATAAAAGCAGTTTACAGCATACTTTATCCTTATTATATCTATCAAAATTATCTGTTGCAAATAAAGGTTATTTGTATTTTCAATATCAATAATAAGAATTAACTATGTCACAGGAGCAATGTCGATTCTCTTTTGGTTTTGTGTTCACTGAAGAAAAACTTGCGGATTTTTCAGAAATATTTAATGCAGATTTCCCTAAAAGATTATCTAGACGACGTTGCTTGTTTGTCCTTAGACATCGGATTTAAAATTCTACATGGAACGATGGGAACCTTAATAGACAGGGAGACTCATAAAACTGTTTAATAGAAGGACATATTATACAACGAACATAAAAACTCTGCAATTGTGCAGTGTACACAGACCCTTAATCCACTGAATAAGTAAATTTTTTACACTACAGGTAAAACTGTTTGATTTAAAACATTATCAAATGCAGAAAAGATTGTTTTAATGTCGTTTCTAGGCAATCAATGGTGCCTTTGTGAATAGGAAGTGTCACCTGAATTTACCTTTACAGACCCTTTAAGGCTAAAAAGAAGAAAAAAGTAAAAGTATTTGTCTAGGCTTTTAGGAGTTTCATGGGGGGGGGGCTAATTGTTTCGTATTTTCTATTTCAAACTATTTGTTGGTCGTTATGATTTATGTACAGCATATGACTAAAAACACTTTTTTTTGATGGATTTCCAATGAAATTTCAAAACAGAACCGAGCTTCTAACGATGTAGCCAAGGCATACTTAGCTTTTAGTCTGTTTTCATTGAGAGGTTTGAGCGTAAGAAGTGTATTTTTGTGCACCTATACTCTGGATGAATAAAAAGCAGTTTGAGAAGAGCGGATTACTAAGTTTTAGTGAAAGCCTTAAAAAGTTTATTGGTGTAACTTCTTAAATGCAAAAGAGGTGGTTCAGTTAGAAATAAACGAACACATGGCCTTGATGAAAACTTTGAGAGGGAGCAATTGACGGGATTATATATCTTAAACAACGAAAGTAATAGAAGCAATTTTGTCAACAATAGGAGAAGATGAAAAGCCTATCCGTCTATATTTAAGCTAATAAAAAAATCTAAAAAAACATTAAAATTAAAATCACTATTTAGATAAAAGATTAACTTTTACAGGGTTACCCAAAAAGAACGATATTTTAAATTACGACCTGTAACCTTTTAAATATAGCGATCTAAATTTGATATTGTAGAAAAAATTTGAACAATTTGAGACGAAATAACAGCTTCAAAACTGCAGGACTCCACGAATTTTAGAAAAAACAAAAGGTGAATTAATTCTGTTTAATTGTCTTTAATGTCTTATCCTTTGTGTGCAACTCTATATCTAAAAGATACCATCAAAAGGAACATAAGTATCAAGATTTATTTTTTTCTAAATTGCTTCTGGAGAATAAGACACTCTTCTTGTTTCAAAGGATTAGAATAGAAATAAGACAATAAGAAATTTTAATTGGTTTTAAACTGTAAAGATAGTTAGGTATTTGATAATAATTGGGTCTCTTTAACCTTTAGGAATTCTATATTTGACGCTAAGAAGATGGGGACAGGGTTGTTTACACTCTACTGTGACGTTTTAAAACTTACAGAGTTAGTTTTAATGTAAGAAAAGAATACTTTGTAAATGATCAGGCCCGGCCCTCCAACCCTGCTCAGGTATAACGAGCACTGTTTACGATTCTAAATATTGTTACTAAAAAGCGGAAATAATACGTCACAGTTTAATGTAAACAAGACAAGAACAAAGAACAAGCGTGAACACAAGAAAATCTTAATAACAAGAGCAAACACAAGAAACACTGTAGAACTTGAGAACAAAGAGCAGGAGCAAACACAAGGAACACTGTTGTATTTGAGAACAAAGAACAAGAGCAAACACAAGAAATAATATAGAACTGGAGAAATTAACAAAGAGCAGGAGCAAGCAAAAGGAACATTGTTGAACTTGAGAACAAAGAACAAGAGCAAACAGAAAAAATAATACAGCACTGGAGAAATTAACAAAAAACAAAAGCAAACACAAGAAACAATGTTGAACATGAGAACAAAGAACAAGAGCAAACACAAGAAACAATGTTGAACATGAAAACAAAGAATAAGAGCAAACACAGAACAACATGAAAAAAAATAGCAGAGCAAACACAAGAACCATGGAAAAACAAAAGAGCAAAACACAAAAGCACTAAATTCAGTGTAACAGTCACCAATTAGTGTTGTATTAATTTAAATAGTTTAATTAATATAATTAATTCGATTAGCATTTTAATTAAATTCTCTCCGAGATGCAAGCATTTGTTAAATACTAATAACTTTAACACAACTAACAACATCTTCAACACATTAAATTGTTTTTAATAATTTAAAAAATTCTGGAACTCTAGCTGTACGGATTTCATTCACTCTTGTTTTTAATTACTGTCACTGCATGCCTAGGTTATTTTGACCAGAGCTGAAAACTTTAGAATGGTTTAAGAAATAAAGTCATAATTTCATAAATATCCAGATTAAATATTGCTTGTTCTCCACATGAATTTAAACTCCAGTTTAATTATTCGACGGGATATCTGGATATTTCATTCTAAAGTTTTCAGCTCATATCATTTATTTCTAAGCATTTTGTTTATATTTGCCCAATCTTATTCTTTAAATCAATCATGGTTCCGTAATGTTTAAGAAGCCCCTCTGTTTAAGTTTGATTTTGGGAGACCAAGGTTCAAAGCATCATATTTTGGGAGACCAAGGTTCAAAGCATCATATTTTGGGAGACCAAGGTTCAAAGCATCAATATTTCTAAACTTAAATCTTTTTAGAAGAACTTCTAAACTCTTTAAAATTTAACCTCTTGTATTTGCTACAAACTCAAATCGTCAAATTCCTATATTTTTGTAACTGATGTATAAAAACTTCAAAGTTAGACTTTCTGATCCAAGAAATGTATAGTTTGAATAGCTAAGGTCTATCGGTTGCAAAGATGTATGAATTAGAAAATACACATAATTCCAAATATTCCTAAATTAGGTTACGTATATATATTGAAACCGGAAAAAGGTAAAAATTGTGTAGCTTAAACCTGTCACTTTATTAGTACAGATGGTTCATTTCACCCTCGACGCGCGACGACGTTTCGACCAATCTATAACTTTTCAATTTACAAATTTTTCTAAACGTTTTTTGGTCTTTACAATCAATTTAAACTATCACTAGATCTTTCTTTTTTTTAAGTTAACATTCATATTTTCAATTTTATTTCTGTAGACAAAAATAATAAGGGAAAATCGCCCTTGTTCCGGTACTTTTTAGATAATAAAGTATCTGAGAAATATTCAAATAATTAAATGTGTATTACATTTTAAAACAAAAACCTATTTCAAATTGTTACGGAATGCGAAAGAAATGTTTTTATTTGTTTCCTGCTGCCAAATATTCAGCTGTTTATGAGCCAACATGCCGGAGAAATAGATATCGTTGAGACATTCAAATTTTAGAGAATATTAGATGTATTCAAACTTAAAAATGAGCAGAACCAAATAGTTCTACAAAAATTTATTAACTTAAGTTTGGTAGTTTTCCAATGGTATTTATCAAGTTAAATAATTCCGAAAGGTTAATTTTTCCAGATTGATTATTTGCCAAATAAATAAATAATTGCCAATTTAGTGAAGATTTCGACTGCCTTATGGTTGTTGGCAATTGGAAAACTGTACACATATAAAGGAAGTTGCCGAAGTCTGTGGATTTTGAAAACTCTGTGTAACAGATCACACAAAATTGCTGCTTTAGTGATTGTAAATTTAACCAGCTGCAGCCTGAACTCCCTGAAAACAGACAGCGTCAACCTAGTTTCAACAGCTAGCCTTTCGTACATTACTATATTGACCCCTGCTGTAGAGGTCTGCCACTGTAGTTGGTGTACCGGCCAGGGCGGTACAAACTAGGACCGTAAAGGTCGGTTTAGCTCAAATTCAAATCTATATGAGAATCAAAAACACCCGTTTAGTCGGGGGTTTTCAATTAATCAATTTATCTAACTCACAACACTATTTCAGGTCGAATAGCCTTGTTTCAGGCCCATTAACAAGAGGACAGTTATTTATTAAAGAAAATTTACATAATATATCCCTTCGGCCTGTTGAGCACATACACCAGATAGCGATATAAATCTATATGTGCACTTTGCACACAGTATGCAGTTAACTACGAATAAGACTTTTACCTAAAGTTTTGTTAAATATTATCACCTACTGCAAATTTTCTTAGATATTATAATTTCGGGACCAGAATCGTGCCTTTTTAAATGCCTGTTTTAGAATAAAATTTTGGATTCAGGTCATATTGTTGGGAACATGGTCTATTCTGTATATATATAACTAATCTTTTGTTCTACTCTGTATATATGTAGCTAGTCTTTTGTTCTAACCTGTATACATGTAGCTAGTCTACTGTTCTATTCTGTATATATGTAACTAATCTACTGTTCTATCCTGTATATATGTAGCTAGTCTTTTGTTCTAGGTTTAAGCTGTAACAAGTTCTATCCTGTATAAATGTAACTAGTCTACTGTTATATTATGTATATATGTAACTAGTCTACTGTTCTATCCTGTATATATGTAGCTAGTCTTTTATTCTATCCTGTATACATGTAACTAGTCTACTGTTCTATCCTGTATATATGTATCTAGTCTACTGTTCTATTCTGTATATATGTAACTAGTCTACTGTTCTATTCTGTATATTTGTAGCTAGTCTTTTGTCCTATCCTGTGTACATGTAACTAGTCTACTGGTCTATTCCGTATATATGTAACTAGTATACTGTTCTATTCTGAATATATGTAGCTAGTCTTTTGTTCTATCCTGTATACATGTAACTAGTCTACTGTTCTAGGTTTAAGCTGTAACAAGTTCTATCCTGTATATATGTAACTAGTTTATACTGTTCTAGGACCAAGATGTAACGTGTTCTATCCTGTATGTATGTAACTAGTCTATACTGTTCTAGGTTTAAGATGTAACGTGTTCTATCCTGTATATATGTAAATAGTCTATACTGTTCTAGGACCAAGATGTAACGTGTTCTATCCTGTATATATATCATTAATCTACTGTTCTAGGACCAAAGTGTAACGTGTTCTATCCTGTATATATGTAACTAGTCTATACTGTTCTAGGACCAACATGTAACGTGTTCTATCTTGTATATATGTGACATATAGTCTACTGTTCTAGGACCAAGATGTAACGTGTTCTATCCTGTATATATATCATTAGTCTACTGTTCTAGGTCAAAGCTGTAACGTGTTCTATCCTGTATATATATCATTAGTCTACTGTTCTAGGACCAAAGTGTAACGTGTTCTATCCTGTATATATACATCATTGTCTACTGTTCTAGGACCAAATTGTAACATGTTCTATCCTGGATATATATAGCTAGTCTATACTGTTCTAGGACCAAAGTGTAACGTTTTTTATCCTGTATATATAATTAGTCTACTGTTCTAGGACCAAGATGTAACGTGTTCTATCCTGCCTAGTCTATACTGTTCTAGGACCAAGATGTAACGTGTTCTATCCTGTATATATTTAACTAGTCTATACTGTTCTAGGACCAAGATGTAACGTGTTCTATCCTGTATATATGTAACTAGTCTACTGTTCTAGGACAAAGATGTAACGTGTTATATCCTGTATATATGTACCTAGTCTATACTGTTCTAGGACCAAGATGTAACGTGTTCTATCCTGTAAATATAACTAGTCTATACTGTTCTAGGACCAAGATGTAACATGTTCTATCCTTTATATATAACTAGTCTATACTGTTCTAGGACCAAGATGTAACGTGTTCTATCCTGTATATATGTACCTGGTCTATACTGTTCTAGGACCAAGATGTAACGTGTTATATCCTGTATATATGTACCTAGTCTATACTGTTCTAGGACCAAGATGTAACGTGTTCTATTCTGTATATATGTACCTAGTCTATACTGTTCTAGGACCAAGATGTAACGTGTTCTATCCTGGATTCCAAAGAAATTTCCGGCTTGAGTTCTCTACTATATCAACTAGTACAACAAGGAACCAGATCTCAATCCTAAAAAACTAAATAGAATTGAATTAAACCTTTACCTGAAATGTTAATACTAAATATTCTTATCTAACCTGTAATTTTCTTCCAATATCCTTCCAATACTGTCTTTTTAATACAGTTAATTCAAGGAATTTACATTGTTCCCTCGTAGCGTCTCTAGTTCTATTTTCCACATGAGAAATTCAAAGAAATTGAGTATTTGCCAAATATTAAAATTTTTATTCCTTATATTATTGCAAACTGTTGGTGTAACTCTTTCATATTTCAAACTTAGATTATTGAATCAGTTATGATTCATAGTTTGATATATCTAAGGTTTATGAAATTGAGCTGCAATGATAAAGGGATTGGAAAAAAGGAGTTTGTGGCAAAAACTCAATTTCTTTATTAGGTTAAATTCTTAGAATTCTGAACATTTTTGTTCTAATAAATAGCGTTTCAATAAGAGGAATTATGATTGAAAACATATAAGATTTTAATATAATGTAATGTTCACGAGACAGAGTATAAAATGGAAACAAAAAGTTGACAAGATTATTTTTACAGATAAAAACCTTTTTTAAATTTAAACAGAGTGCAGAAGACGGATTAAAGCAAGAATAAATGTAAATGAGGATCTGGTATTTATCTAGAAATGAGATAGGACTCCCACCCCGTCCTTCCTTCACCAACCCTGGATATAATGGAACCGTACAAACTGTTACAATGGGGCAAACTACACATATTGATTGTCAACTAAACAACCTTCAAGGTTTTCAGGTTAGTGTTTAATGGAATAATCATAGATAAAAAAAATACAGATTGAACACTAGCTGCCGTCTTCTCAAGATTTAGGGGTTTTTCGTTCACAATAACCCTGAGGCAGAAACCCAAAAGAGTTACGCTCAGCATACTCTCTGTCTGTCTTGTCATTCAATGCGGCAAACGCGTAACTCCTTTGGGCCTCCAATGGGAATGATGATAATGATAAAAGTATGATCTTGAGAAATAAGAACCACAAGGAAAACAGATTTTAGAAAAAACGGAATCAATAATAATCAATAAGTTCTATTTAGTAAATACTAGCTAAAGTACCCAGCGTTGTCCAGGTTTGTATTATTCGTGGTCATGTCCTACCGTTTACCCGCGCTTCGTATTAAATTATGATTTCATATTATATGTTGCCCATCAAAAGTTGAAGCTTCCGTAGAAAGAATCATTCAACACACTTTTTTGTTTATGACACTCTCCGGGCTACCCAAGTGTTTCTTAAAAATGTTCACCCAATTTGGTTCAGCCGTTTTGCCAGCGAAAATTTACTGGTACAACTCAGTGCCCTCGTAGCTCCAATGGTTTTGTATGAGAAAAGTAAATTTGTCTGGCTACATATATTGAAAACTCAACTTATTATTTTTCAAAAGATCTTTAATGAAAGGAGTTATTATTAAATAATGAAATTAAATGAAAACATGAAAGAAAATAGAAAAGTAAAAGACTATGACTGGGATACATTCAAAACCACGGTTCGGGATTTGATATGGTTTTATGTACAATTTACTGCTGTACATTGCGTTCCTGGCTCTGATGCTTACATTTATTTTATGCAATTTATAAAAACCATTATTTTTCATAAGTCTTTTATTTATGCCTTGCATACATGTAATTGCCTACAAAAGTGCATGCATATATATGATACTATATCACAAACAAATGTTTAGTCTTAAATGGACTGTTAATGTAAAATAAAAGGGGGTATAGGCTTTAGCCTAAAAACTTTAGGAGTTGATTGCGACCAAGATTAGTTTTATCTGATGCCCTTGTCTCGAAAAATTGATATAAAATTGTGTTAAAATTGACAAAAACTCATATATACGTAATATGGCCAACGTGCCATTGGTGGAAATTCTGAACCCATTACTGTATATAATCAATTATATCTATTAAAAATGAATAAGGATTACATTCAAATTATACAATATGAAGCATGCATAAACTTTTTCATATCTGTTCTGTATTTGTGAAATATAATCTGTTTAAAACTTCACATACAACCACTAGACGCTGAACCGCCAAAAACCGGTTTTATTTAAGCTCCGCCTCAAATCTCGAAACATGCTGAATACAATTTCTAGTAGAACCGACTATTTTTGAGCCCCGTCTCAAATTTGAGACGCAGCTCAAATTCTTAAAATTCGGCCTCTGGAAAGTATAATATTTTTATCTTGGTTTTACTCCACCAGAAGAGTATAATACACACCAATGAAAGAAAAAGGAAATTAATTCTAATATTTTGCAAGAAGATGACAAGTTTGGGATTAAGTATCAAAATATGAAGTTTCGGAACAATTGTTCCAGAAAATTGATAAAATTCTTAGAATTACTTCAGAAACTTAAATCGAACATATTTAAGAGAATGTTTGCGAAAATTGAAAAAAAAAAAATAATATTTCGTTTAAACATTTTCCTTTTAGTCTCTGTTTATTTTTGACAACGATCGTATCTGTGCCACCAGTCGCAGCTCCACCAGGGAGAAACTGGTTACTTGTTGTGGGGTGAATTAAAGTTATACAAAGCACATAATCCATGCATCTTAAAGATTGGCATTAGAACCTTTATATATATATAGTGATTAAAGGCATTATTATGCTTTTTTGCTACTCCAGTCTCAACATAAGCTCATTTGTTTAAAGCACAGGGTGTCTGCGCGATAAATACCCCTAAAAATTCTAAGAACTTTCCCAACAAAATTCAAAATATTTTTTAAGGTGAGCTGATAATCTTAATTTTGTGATAAACTTAAAGGGACCGTTCACTTATTTGGATAATTTCAGCGTAAACTAAACAGCCTATTCCCTGTTGATTGGTAATAGTCTTACTTTTTAAAGACAACTGTGGCCGGAAAAAAAGCCAATTATATTCAATTATTATTTCTGTTATTTATTCAATTTATTCGCTTTATTCAATGATATTTTAATAAAATAAACTAATATTCAAAAATGCATAATTGCAAGTGTAATATACAATACATTTTATTCACATCGAATATGCATGTTTAGTTTACCCTGAAATTTCCCAAATAAGTGAACGGTCCCTTTTATTATTTATTATTCTTTTTTATGGAGGGTCACTTTCCATTTAGTCCTTCTAATGTTATATCACAGTGAGATATCTGACTCCAAGTTAGTATTCTAATAGGTCTATCAGCACCATCAGTAATATTACATCTAGAGGCGTATACAGGGGGGGGGGGGTCACCACCCCTGTATCAATGAAATCAACGGTTTCCAGGGGGTTCTCAGTCCCTAACAAGTGCTGAGCTGAAAGAAGAAGAAAATATATAAGCCCCCCACTGGACTGTATACGCCCCTGATTACTTTAGATGCATTCATTAACAAGAGCCGCTCTATGAATATAAATTCTTTCAAAGCAAAGCTCAGTGTTCAAACAAACCTTTTTAACAAAATACAAAGAAAAGTAGTTTAAATCTTTGTCAAAAAATATTCTAATGTTGGATGCAAAAATTATTCTTATGTATTCAAAAAAAATGTATATTAGGTAAATCTAAAAAATGTACTCTATAACCCACACTTAATTCTGTACTTAGCAAAATAATGTACTGTATAACCCACACTTAACTGTATTTAGCAAAATAATGTACTGTTTAACCCACACTTAACTGTATTAAGTAAAATAATGTACTGTATAACCCACACTTAACTGTATTTAGTAAAATAATGTACTGTATAACCCACACTTAACTGTATTTAGTAAAATAATGTACTGTTTAACCCACACTTAACTGTATTTAGTAAATAATGTACTGTATAACCCACACTTAACTGTATTAAGTAAAATAATGTACTGTATAACCCACACTTAAATGTATTTAGTAAAATAATGTACTGTATAACCCACACTTAACTGTATTTAGTAAAAACCTTTCAATTTGTTTCTCCCGGTTTAAATTAAATTGGTAAATTGAACCAGACTTTTTACCAGACATTACTTTACAACAATTTGGTAAACCATTCAGGTTATAACATATTCTGAACAGAACAATCAGGTTGGTACTTTCTCATCATGTACAGTGTACAACAAATCAGAGCAGTACACTGAACCCAAAACTTAAGACAGGGTATTGTAATGAAAACCAGTTTTAAAATCAATATTTTTGTTATGAAATATTATTTTATTTAGTTTCTTCATATTCTCCATTTTTGTCGAATCTCTAAAATCAAAATCTACAAAACGGAGACTCCGAGATTCTTTTTTAATTTTTAAATTTTAGATTCTATTCAGTAAAAAAAATATTATTTTTTCAATTTTTAACTAGCTTGCACTGAATGAATTTAAAAGTAAGAAAAACTGCAAAATGGTTCAACCCCATTTAAATGAACAATATTTTCTACGTATGTGAATATATCGTTAAACTTCATATTGTCCCAGGTTTCATGTTAACCCTCCCCAGATTTCTCGAATCCAGTAAAATGTAATAAACAATCTTTTAATTTAGTCTGTTCCAGAATAATTAACGGTCCGCAGTGTGACAAATTAACATACACAGTAAACAAATCCTCTCGTTGAAGAGCGAAGACAGTTCGACATATCGAAATGACCGATGACAGCTCGACCGATATCATAGAACAAAGACAGTTCAACCATCTAAAAGATCGAAGACACCTCGACCTATCTAATTGATCGAAGAGAGTTCGACCTTTTAAAAAGAAAGAAGAAAGCTCGATCTATTTAAATGATCGAAGACAGCTCGACCTATCTAAATGATCAGAGGCAGCTTGATCTATCTAAGGAACTAAACCAGTTCGACCTGTCTAATGAACAAAAGCAGTTTGACTTGTCTAAATGACTTAAGACTTTTTAACCCATATAAATTTGGATGTTGTTTTGGATGCTATTTCTCAAATTATTTTGTAAACACTTGTTAAGAGTGTTCAGTTCAGTTCTATTGCATCAAATATCAAAATCTGAGAAAAAGAGAACTGCGGATAAAGTTGCAGAATGGAAAGCCCCAGGGACTTAGGGAACCTCACATTAAACATTCATTCAAAAACAGTCAATAGTGGGGCAAATAAGATTTTGGGGGTCACAGGAGGGGATGAACATTGGTCGTGGGTATTGGGAAGGGGGGGGGGGGAACAAACAGAAGTGTCAATGGGGGAGGCTTATGAAAAAAAAAGAAAAAAGAGCAACGAAGATAAAATAGAGGGGAGGGGGATTGAAAAAACTATGACAAATATTTGCTTTTGTCAAACTTGATCTCTAGCTCAAGCTTCAGCTGTTTTTCTTACCAATACATTTCCTACAGCAATAAATTCGATTAAAAATATATCGATTAAGTTTATTATCATGTTTTCTAGTCTAGCACAACAAATAAAGATTGTAAAAACAAATTTAGTCTAATTTAAAATTTTTTTTTGATTTTGTTTCTTTTGTTGAATATAATGACTTGACTCAAATTGAAAGATAGAGTTTGATATTGTATTGAAACCTCGTCAAATAGTTTAGATTTCTAAATGTCACTAATCCATATCCAAGATTATGCCAACACTCCTGCAGGATTAATATGTTCAGATGATATATCGACATTTTAGTCGATCTTTCATTTTAATTTTAGTGGGAGAAAAGTTTTTCGAGAATCAAGAGTTGATCAAAATGTGTAGGCAAACGAATAGTTCACAGTGGTCCAAAAGTTGCAATGCTCAGACGCATAAATGGATAGGAGTTTTACTAACTACTTCTAACGATACTTCAAAGTCTTTAGA